TTCTTCGAGCGCCGTGTGCCTGGAGTTTGGACCAAATGACTCCATAGTCATTCTGAAACCTAGACACGGTTATGTTCCGAAAGCGATTGGTACCCCTTTCAGGGCGCAAGTGATCTCTCTATCGGCGCTGCCTGCATCCGATAGCGAACGTGACGCTGACCGCCTCTGCCCGGTTCGGGCTCTCAGAGTGTATACTACACGCGTTGCCGCGTTCAGACACTCAGAGCAGCTGTTTGTGTCGTTCGGTGGCAGCACCAAGGGATTAGCCGCCTCGAAACAGACTCTATCCAGGTGGATAGTAGACGCGATTGCCTCTGCTTATGCCGCTAAAGACCTGCCTTGCCCTCTGGGCATCAGGGCTCATTCCACCAGAGGCATGGCCTCATCGTGGGCATGGTCCTGCGGAATTTCCATTCACGACATTTGTGTGGCTGCGGGATGGGCCTCCCCCTCCACTTTTGTCAGATTTTATAACTTGGAAGTTCCAGCCTTACAGGCTAAAATTCTGGCGGTCTAGTACTCACAGCTCTCCTATAGAAAGCCGCACTATCGGGAGTTCCATCACAACCGGCTCACCCCTTGTGTTCCCCTATGTGCTTATGCATTACACATCACGGCCCGCTTCGCCGGCCGCCTTAGGGCGTTTTGCTCTAGATGATAACGGCCGCTATGCTGGCCGCCTTATTATCTTCATCCACTTAAAGATTCCCCCGGTTTTCCCCCTGGGATGCTTAGTGGTTACTTAGCGCGCACGGCGTTGACCAGGTGTTCCCGTAGCGTAAGCTAGCTTACGCAATACGAGAGAACCTCTCGTAAGAGAACGAATCGGTTACCTAACGTAACCTCGGTTCTCTCTAGATGAGGGAACGAGTATTGCGTTCCCGGCCGTGCTTGCGCCACTAGCGTTTCGCTTCATGCTACAGAATCGACAAACTAGCTGGGAGAGCGACCTTTATACACTGTAGCCACGCCCCTTTTGGCGGGCTGTGACGCAGTGAGCGAGCGCCGTCCGCTCATTGGGCGCGGACTCAGCGCCGCTCTCCCATAGGTTCGTGCATTCTCTCTGAGCGAACCAATGAGCCGCTAGCTAGCCCGCTCATGGTCTGCCTCAGAAGAGACTGCGTTGCCAATGATTACAAAATTATGGAATAATTTTTTGGCTTCAACTTCTCAGCAAAGATGAATCTTTCCCGTAGCGTAAGCTAGCTTACGCAATACTCGTTCCCTCATCTAGAGAGAACCGAGGTTACGTTAGGTAACCGATTCGTTATTCTGCACGACGTGCAAAAATGTATATATATATACACTCACACACACACATATATATATATATACACTCACCGGCCACTTTATTAGGTACCCCATGCTAGTAACGGGTTGGACCCCCTTTTGCCTTCAGAACTGCCTCAATTCTTCGTGGCATAGATTCAAGGTGCTGGAAGCATTCCTCAGGGAGTTCCACTCAAAGCCGGCTCGCAAGCCCAAACGTGTGTTTGCGGCGTGCCTGTTGTTTTGTTTATGGTCTTGATCCGCTTGCGCTTTGGTCAAAGAAGCAACAAAACGTCCTCGCGCGGCACAAGCCATTGAAATGAAAGGGTTTCTGACGTTTTGTGCCGCACACACTCGTTTCGGCTTGCGAGCCGGCCAAATAGTAACGTTACTTTTGAGTGGATAACGAGCGCAAGACGCCGAAATGGATGCCCTAAAATTTGAATGGAAAGTTTACTTTTAAAAAGTTGCCATATTGTCCCATTGACAAGACCAAGTGATCTGTGTTTTGTCGTTGTGAACTGAGCTATCATCATCGCAGCACGTCCAGTCAGAAACACCACTTGATGGCCCAGAAAAACACACACACACACACACACACACACACACACACAGATGATGCGAATTCTCCGCCCCCTCGCCAATATTAGGGCCTCGTCAGTATTTCTTTCACCCTTTTATTGATAGACAGTGTTACATTGTGTGAGAGATTATTTATAGGCTATATGTTAGTGTGAAATTGAACACTATTCCAATGTTATTTTCAATAAAATTTTTTCCGTTTTTCCATATTGAGAAGAGCATTAAAATGAGAAAAAAATAATGTAACAAAAAGAAATCAAGAGACATTTAGAATAGATAAAAATGTGCGATTAATCGCGAGTTAACTATGACATTAATGCGATTAATCGCGATTTAACATTTTAATCATTTGATTAAACATTTTAATCATGTGCAAAGTTTCAAGAGTTTTCAAACACGTTAAGGGCCCCAAAAGTGCCCAAAAGGTAGCAGAATAATAATAATACGTAAGAAGAATAAGAAGAATAAATAATCCTAACGAAAACAATAGGGCCTTCGCCCTTTCAGGGCTTGGGCCGTAATAATCCCAAGGAAAACAATAGGGCCTTCGCCCTTTCAGGGCTTGGGCCCTAATAATCTCAAGAAAAACAATAGGGCCTTCGCCCTTTCAGGGCTTGGGCCCTAAAAATAATCCAAAGGAAAACAATCGGGCTCTGCGCCCTTTCAGGGCTTGGGCCCTAATAATCCCAAGGAAAACAATAGGGCCTTCGCCCTTTCAGGGCTTGGGCCCTAATAATCCTAAGGAAAACAATAGGGCCTTCACCCTTTCAGGGCTTGGGCCCTAATAAATGCTGTATAAGTGCTGTTCATTATTAGTTCATGCTAACTAATGTAGTTAACTAATGTTAACTAATGAACCATATTGTAAAGTGTTACCATAACATCAGTACGAACCACAAGCATTTATTTATTTACATAAAATATTGTAACAATTCAGTGTCATTTTTCAATGTGAACAGAGGTGTTGTGGTAAAAAAAGAGGTGGGTACCCTCAGTGGTCACCAGGTAAGGTGGGCCACTGCCTACCGGTGTATGTGTATCCTGATAGAATTGCTATATGGGGAGGACTCAACATTAAGCCTTTTCATACGCTTGTCCTTCGGAAAAGTAAATCTGTCATTCACTTGTCTGAGTAAAAAAGTTGCTCGTCTGGATTTTTTATTTTTATTTTGTGTGTGTTAATTTATTCTGAAACAATATTCTCATCAGTGTTCAATCAACTTTGATATTTAAATCACCATATTGTAATATCTGCACCTTTAAAGGGCATCCCAGGGGTGGTTGATTGCAATTTCACTTTTTTCATTTTAAATAGTGTGTAATGTTGCTGTTGGTGCATGAACATTATCTCCAAAGTTGCAGCGCTGAAAGTTCAATGTAAGCAGAGATATCATCTTTTAAAAATCAGGAAGTGTAATGCCTAGAAAAACGACTTGATCGGGACTACAACAGGATTTTAGACGTCACTAACCCATACATTTACATCAACCCTCCCTCCGGAATATGCAAAAAAGGGCATGGCCATATTTCTGCTTTTCGTCGAAAGTTTGTTATGTTCATCCAGCTGTCAGGTGTCTGCAGCTGTCTGTGTTCGGGCTTCCCACGAACGCTGTAGTTTGTCAACAATGGATACAATGACATCGCTCTCTGTGCTGCGCATTTTAAGAAAAACAGCTTCCAGAATCTCCACGAATTCAATGCTGGATTCAACAAGAAACAGTTACTAAAACATGAAGCAGTTCCAACTTTAAAACCAGAGGCAGCAGTTGTTTATGGGGCGCCGTTTGTAAAGCGTCTCACGCTGAAAATAACAGCACCATTTTGTCACATTTAGCTTTAAACTATGTTTAAAAAACTGGTATGAATTTTTGACGGTCACTTTTTAGTGCATTTACATGTATATTTGTCAACTTAGAGATATTTAAAATAGTTAAATCTATATATTAAATGTTACACCTAAAGGTTAAATCTAAATCTAGATGTTAAATCTAAATATTAAATATAAATGTTAAATCTAAATATAAATGTTGAATATAAATGTTAAATATAAATGCCAAATCTAAATATAAATGTTAAATATAAATTTTAAATGTTAAAATCATTTGAACTTTGGGTTAGTGTAGACTCGACGTGCTGCGCGCTGTAACACATCATTCTCCGCTTGGGATGCGCACTGTACTGAGCCTTTCATGTCATAATGCAGTGATGCAATGACAGATTATTAATTGCCTTTCTTGTTCTGTCCTATCTATTATATGTTGCGGCCTTATTAAACATCTGTGCTATACATTTAAAACATGTTGTCTCAATTTTATAGTAGCCATGGGTATATCTAAAATAATTTATCTTTTTTATTTTTGTTATCTTGTTTTTCATGAATGTATTTCACAACAATACAAAGAGCAATGTGTATTATCCACTAATCTAGTTTATAATAGCATTTTTGTCATAGATTATGGTCATATATTTTTTGGATTTGTTGTTTATCTTTATAATGAAGTTGTCTGTATTAAGTAGATTGTGTTTAACACACACAAGAGTGATAATTAGTTCAACACAGAGTTATAGAAATTCTACTTGATCTAAAAAAAAAACTGCACTGGTATCGGATCGGTATAGGTATTGCTCGATACTCTATGTATTGCTCGGTATAGGTATTGCTACGATAAGAATTTTTGGCATCTGATCAGATCGATTCTGAATAAGATGGTATGGGTGCATCCCTAGTAGTAGAGAAGTTTAAAGCAAATCAGGTAAAAATAAAAGTATTTTGAAAGTGACACACTTCCTGCAGCCAGTTGTTGGAACTATAACTTCGCTCTTTCAGGGCTTGGGCCCTAATAATAATAATCCTTAGGAAAACAATAGGGCCTTTGCCCTTTCAGGGCTTGGGCCCTAATAATAATAATCCTTAGGAAAACAATAGGGCCTTCGCCCTTTCAGGGCTTGGGCCCTAACAAAAGGGCTCTGCGCCCTTTCAGGGCTTGGGCCCTAATAAAGTAAAATGCTCCTTTCATCCCGGTGCGCCTTATTTAGCCCCGTTGGACCCTATATTCGGAATGTCAGTGGCTCTAACATCATTTATAGATGGATGTTAGATACTGTGGTATAAAACTGTTTGTTTTTCCTGTGTTTACCCTCACCATTAGCTGTTGTGGTCCAAAAGAGATACATGAACCTGCAGGCCACAGCTGAAGCCGAGGAAAATAACTACAGAGATTCTATCCATCTTGTCAACTTTACAAACAATATCAGTGATCCTGAGGGTGAGTGTGTTTTACTCTGTTCTGATATTATTTGGATGAAAGGTACTTAACATTTGTTTTCTGTATTTGTTATTTGTTTTATCTGTGTGCATGTAGTTCCTGTGTTTCCTCAGCATATCTGGCCTCAGAGTAGCGTTGAGAGTGATACGGACTATGAGCAACATGACATCAGTCTGGAAGCGGCTTTTCCTTTTTCCACCTTTCACAGTTAGTCATTGTTAAGTGTTACGGACAATACTGAGCAAGTAGGAAAGACTAGGGATGATTGTAACATGGGTCAGCTGTAACAGAGTTTATGTTTTTGATTAAAGATTACAAGGGTACATGATTTTTTAAAAATAATTATGTGCTCGGATAAATACGTTTTTAAAGAAGTATTGCAATATTAAGTAAACACTGAGTTACACACATTAGACTAAAGGTGTTACAACCATCTCCATTCTTCCCTAAACATTTTGTTGTAAAATCCAATGTTGTGTCTGGATAACATTATGATCAAATTCAAGTACGCATTACTTTGAAATTTAGAAAAAAAAATATTTTCAAAGATACTTTTTCAAAAATGGAACTCAAATGACTTTGTTCGCTCTCAAGGGAACTCAACAATGCGTCATGGTTGTTGACGTTACGGGACAAGATATAACGTTCTGGATGATAGACTGAATATACCATATTCAACATTCAACATCTAACTTCTTAGAGATATATTAAATGACTAATTTTAGCTAGATAATAACTTTATTCTAGAGCTGCTGTAAAGCCAAAACAATCTCTGTTACTTTAATTTCCTATTATCACTGTAATGCTTTTTCCTATTATCACTGTAATGCTTTTAATTTCCTATTATCACTGTAATGCTTTCAGTGATAATTTCCTATTATCACTGTAACCGCTGCTTTGAAACAATCTACTGTATATTGTTAAAAGCGCTATATAAATGAAGGTGTAACAGTTCGAAAAAGATCCAAAAGCAAAAGTTGGTTAATGATTTATTGAAAAGAAAAAGGATAAATGCAACACAGACTGTCAGCTGATCACAGGTCATCTTGATGAACGCAGAACAGGAAAACGATTTCCAGACAACACAGAGAAAAAGACTTAACAGAGGATAGCCGGAGCAGTAACTCATCTGACATATGTGTACACAGGACAAGAAACAGTTGCAAAGATACACAGGGGTCAGTAACGGACATGAACAAACAAACAATAAACCATCAGGAAGGGAAAAGAACATGAGGTAGCCAGAAAATCAGGGCAAAAGGGGAACAGGTGTGAGGAGAGCAGGAGAGTGAGCGCTGATTAAGAATGAATTCATGTGTGCGAGAGCACATTAGAAAGAGAGAGAAAAAAACAGAGGAACAAAACTAGACTCGTGAAAGAAGGTAGCTTGACTTGGTTTAGAGATAGAAGCATAATCAATAACTCAGAGTGTGCTTCTGGTTTTCATTGTGCGCAACATAATTGTGTGCAACATAACTGCATGCAGCCTTCAACGTGTGCCATTGTCTGAAGAATGTGTGAAATCACGTCAGTTCTATCGGCTGACGGAGGTCAGGTGATGAAGCGCAGCTTGTCATCAGGGTTCGAATTAAGTGGCTTTCGGGGGAGCCCTATTTTCCAATCCTCCCTGATTGACTTTAACGCTTTTAGTGCATGTTCGGGCATTTAAAACAATAATGTGATGTAAAACAGGTTCGTTGTGTGTGGGTGATGGAAGGAGACGTGATAGGGTCGGCGAATGCTGGAACTCGTGCACTTTTATTTACAAGGCTCTTTTACAGCATGTGGTCGTGCTCAAATAACGCTAACTCAAAATATCAAAAAGGCAACAGAAACAGATGATAATTAGGCTAATAGGCTACTCTTTCCGCTGGACACAACAGAAGTTTCTTTCTCTCAGGATATGAGCACGAGCTCCCAGTCTCTCTCTCACACTTATGTCAGCACGGCCCGGAATATAGGCGGTCTCCTAACCCCAATTACTGAAATCACAGACAGGTGTTTGTCATTTGAATTTGACCCACTCAGGCCCTGTTTACATGAGAACGCTCGCGGGTGAAAACTTAAAAATATTTTATCGGATGTGCGTTTCGTTTACACGGCGACAGCGTTTTTGGGGCTTAAAAACACAAAAAAGTGAAACCACCCTCCAGAGTGGAAATCTTTAAAATGCTCCACCGGTCGAAAGCGTGATGACGTACTGGCGTGATGACGTACTGACGTAGTGTGTGTGTGTGCGTTGGGTGCGAAAATTCAACATGGCAGCGCGCCGCTGTTAGAAAAAGATAAAAAAAACTTTTTAGTTTTATTTTTTTTCCTTCTCTCTCTCTCGGTTTTTTTTTTTTCGTAACATCACTCACTTTAAACCTAACTCAAAACCTGGATTTCATCTCAGACCTGGACCAACTGGAGGATTACATTGATCATCACTTCAACAGACTGTTTACAATGGGGCGATCACGCAAAGCCAAAAAACCATGCACTTCGGATTCTTCTCCCATATCAACCGATTCACCGCCGTCACCAACATCACCAGCATCCACCCCGATCAAAACAAACTGCTGTTCCGACATACTTTTATCAATCAACGAGCGATTATCTAACCTGGACTCTAGACTCTCACTAATCGAAGTACTGCACAAAGAGTTTCAAAACCTCCGCCATAGCCTGGAATACAGTCAACAACAAGTCGATTCACTCACAGAAGAAAATAAATCACTGAAAAGCTCCGTGGACACACTCGCTGCAAAACTTTCCACTGTAAACATTCAACTTTCCTCTGTCATCGCCGAGAACAAAGCCATGCAAGAAACCATCCTGGATATACAGTCATGCAGCATGAGAGACAATCTAATCTTCTCCGGCATTCCCGAATCATCCACCGAAGACCCCGAAAAATCTGTTAAGGACTTCTTGGTTAATCAGCTCAAACTTGCACCAGAGGCTGTAGAGCACATCACTTTCCATCGCGTTCACCGTTTAGGACAGAAAAACATCAACTCCACCCGTTCCCGGCCCACCATCGCCAAATTTGAACATTTCAAGCAAAAAGTACTGGTTCAGCAACAAGGACGGCAGCTCAAAGGGACTCATTACGGACTCAACGACCAATATCCACAAGAGATCATCCGCAGACGTGAGCTACTTTTCCCCATTCGAAAGACAATGATCAGGCCATCCTTAAAAATATTTTGGTTTGCAGTAACAGCAATTTTTTTTTTAAAAAAAAGGGTCGGTAGGTAGGTCTATATTTTTTTCCCCAAGATTCAGTGTAAAAAAAAAAGGTACAATTTTGGAGATGGTGATCGTGAATTTAAAAAAAAAAAAAGCATATTGTGACGTCACTGACTGGGTCTTCAAACTGTGCATCCACCGCTAGGTGTTAATGCAAAATACGACCAGTTACATTTTAGGCTAGTCACAAAATGTATAAAATATCTATTTGTTATGCATATATACATGAGATAAGCAAAAACAAGTACAAACACATGGTCAAACAAAGAATACAATTAAACAAAGATACAAATTAGCCTATATACACAGTGCTTTAATTTCAGGAAGGTCTAAAATTAGCTACTTTTCAGTTAAGTCTGTCGCTCTCTCTGAAAAGAAATTTAATTTAGCTAGTAATCAAATGTAAAATGACACTGCATAGTTTATCATAGTTAGATTATTAAAGTTTAAGTTATTCATTCAAGAGCTGTGAGTGATTTTTATCTGCCTTTTGTTGTTTGATTCGCATTGGCTCAATCGTCACGTTTATTAGACTACTGCCCCTTTAAGACCGAATGCAGAACTCTACTGTAATAGATGACTGATGCAACATCATTTTCTCCCAACTTACGTCCAATTAAGACATAAACTGTGTTTAAATGAATCTCAGAGCAGGTCATTTTATATTTTATGTATATTTGATGGTTTAGATGCGCACATGAAGCCCAAAATGAGGCGATAGCCAACTTTTCTTGTCTCGTTTTAGTGCATTTCGGAGCGCGCGTCGTGAACAACGTCTCTTGCGCAGACTTTTGTGCTTTTAATAGCTCTTTTAATGATTGAACGCGTCCGCAGTTTAGCAACAGTACAGACTGCATTTTATCACAATCACCGATCGTGCTGATTCTGACGGTACGTTTGGGGTTTAGGAAGAAATGACAGCGCAACGCTGTGAAGGGAAGGAAGTTGCGCTAGACAGAATGCGTCTGGCTGTAATGGTTTCACCTCAAATATCTTCTTTTTATAATCTTTGAAAGCGGAAATCTAAAATACAATTAGAATAATATCCCAGATCTAAAGTGTTTTGTCCTCATTGTCACTCATTAAGCAGGGCTGTCGTGCTGTGCTCGCTGTGGCTCCGGGTGAGAGCTCGCTCTCTCTTCTGGACTGCGAATAGCAAAATTGCATCACAGACAAATTGTTTAATATTTTTATTATATATAGAAATGGTTGATATTCAGCCCCGTTGCCCTTTTAATACCGGGTACCAAGCGGGAACACTGAAACGAGCGAACGTACAAGCCATATAGTGACACGCTTAACGTTAAACCAATGGTAAACATAATCTGATGACTATGACGCCACGGGTTTTTATTTAAGAAAGAACGTAGCCTACGTTTGTAGGCTATGTAGACACAAGCAACTTTCAAAATACTAACTAAAATATAGGCTAATTAATATTATTTTATTGAATTTGAATTAGTCGTTTGAAGAGTAAAAAAAAAAAAAAACGGTCGGTCTGAACGCAAGTTACAACCGGCAAGTCGGTCGGACTAAAAGGAAAAAAAATAAAAAATTGGGTCGGCCCTAAATTGACAGGGTCGGTCGGGTTACGGCAAACAATAATATTTTTAAAGTCCCCGTGAACCGGAAGTTGCAAACGATTTTTCTCCAGTGCTGTGACGTATTTCCAAGTGAAACGGAATATTGAACAGAGTGCAGGGTTTTACTCTAGCGCTCCTCCTCTCCATCTCTCGCTCATAGCAAACTAACGCTTTGAGGGGAGTGGTTAAGCGTTTCCCCACCCAAGTTGTGAAACCTACGTCTTTAGAAAAAGAAACCGTTCCAGACCGGAAGTAACTTTTCAGATTTTGATTAAAGATTACCAAGGTAAAACATTTTTTAAATATATTTTTACTAGCACGGATTAATTGTTCACCACAAGACTAGTAATATGCGCTAACAAAGTAAATAGGTTCAATTTTGATTTCACG